AGACCTATTTGGACAAGTCATCAATACACCGGTTTAGGACAGAGGAGAGGGAAGACACAGAGGGATGAGTTGATGGGCTGTTTGAGTTATCACATAGATGCGCAAAAGCTGAGAGGTGCATCCTTTAACTGTTGTAGAAACAAGAACTTAAGAGAGCATCATTGTACATGCAGTTATTTACTCCTGAAGAAACAAAAAACTTCTTTAAGCAAACGAAGATCATGGAAATTATGAATGCAGAAGTTTAAGAAAAAAGATATAAAAAAGGCCGCATATTCATCTTACATTTATAATCCCAATTAAAAATATATTCCCCTCACAGCAGTGTCTGTTTATTTAAATTATTATGTAGAAGTTCTACAGACTTTGAGGATGTTTGTTTTTGAACTAATGTTTCTATCCATTAAATTAATACAGTGAGTTTCTTTTCTGTTTTTACATACATCACATTTTGTATATATTACTGTTCTTTTATGATAATATTTCAGTGTCCCTCAGTAGTTTTTAATGTCTTGCTATGGCTCTGTGCACAGGTTTTATGTGTTAATGCTTCTGCATCAAGAGGTGAATCAATGTGTGCTGTTGAGTTTAACCTTTGGACCCTGTAATGATAAATTATAATATTAAATCTCCTTTAATAGATCAAAGAAAATATTTAATTAGGCCCACATTTGAGAGTTTTCAGCTATCATGTTATTTGTAACAAACAGAACAAACAGTGACATAAGTTGTCAAAACATTTGCACCTTTAACAGAATGGTTTCTATAGCCTATGTTAAGTAATATTTGTGGATAAGCTGTTTCTTTATTCAATGAAAGTATGTTACACATATGCGGGAGCTACGTCCCCCTCCTTAATGTCGACCACAATTTGGTGCTGCACCTGCTGCCTGAGTGGGAAACATCCTCACTCGCTATGGAGGGCCTTATTAGCCACTCACACTCGTACAATTGGTTTCAGATTGGACTTAATATGGCCGGCCCCTCCGCAGGCACAGTAAACGGAGGGAAAATTGGGTAGGGTGAGGGAGTAGCCACTGATTGGGAAAGGCCCATACTTAATCCTAAATCTAACCTAAACTCCATTAGTCCAGTCCAGGTCTGCCCAAAGTGGGTGCTCAAGGGCCTCGTCCTTGAAGGTATTAGAGGTTTCTCTGTTTCAGCACATCTTTTTTCCAGTGATAGCTGATAAAACAGGCTTTTGCTGAACTGCAATTATCAGAATCAACTGTGCTGAAGCAGGCAGACCTCAAAACCTGCAGGAGAGCTGCCCTCTAGGGCAGGTTTGCCTTAGTCCTAAACCTAACGCCCTGCCCAAGAAGAGAACTTATCCTTATGGGGACCAGCCATTGGTCCCCACAAGTACCTATACCCATAAGTCCCCAAAATGTAGTATATTTCTGGGAGATTGTCCCCACAAGGTGCAAAGTAAGAAACTTTTTTTCTGTATTTTACTTGTAAAGTCAGAACTTTTTATTGGTCCTCACTTTGTTGGCATTGAGTGGGATTTAGGTTAAGGTTGGGGTTGGGCAATGGTTAGGTTTAGAGTAAGTGGTTAGTTCTGTAGAAGGGTAGAAAATGATTGGAAGTCAATGGGATTTTGTCATATTGTATTTAAAACATGCACCCTCATCCACCGTGGCTTGGGCTGTCCAAAGAAACAACTTAAGCAGTCTGATCTCATCTGGTGTGTTCCTTTGATAACATTTTATTTTTGACTTCACTAAAGTCTATTTTATATTCAAAATTTGAGGTAAATTTAATCTAACTGCCATTAAGTGCATGTTTTACTATCCCCAGAACCCAACATAAAATGTACAGTACATTCCTCTTTCCTGTTGGTGCAGTAAAGTGAGCTTTTAATTTTAACAGCAGAAAGCGTAAAGAGAAAGAAGCGCAAAGAATGTAGGAAAGGCTCGTAGCTGGCAGCCTTGGTCTAATGGGAATCTGGTCTTCAGGGTACAGGCACCAACATTTCTGCATGTGAAAAACTGATAGGAGGGCAGGTGAAAGACTCAGAGAGGGGGGACAGGGAGAGAGAAAGAAGAGAAAATAGGGAAGAAGCAATTCCAGATTACATGTGCTTGTGGTGCAGCGTGGGTGGGCATGTGTTGGAGCAAGTGAGTGATCTAGTGAAAGGGATAGACGGAGGAAAAAAGAGACAGAGAGAGAGTTGTGTCAGTGGGAGAAGAAATGCTGGAGCGTGATGGAGTTCCTACACAGTGATCCATTTGTCAAATCGTGAGATAATCACCTGAAAGCACCAGTGCTCATAGCAATAAATTAAACACAAACACAGACACAAATTGTATTGTAATTAAAGTTGTGGGAGTGATGAGAGCCATGGAACAGTGTCTTAGTTTTATCTTCTACTTTGTATATCACCTAGCAACTGCTATAGGGAAAGTTTTATGATGCTGACAGACAAAGACATATTAAATGCTGACTAAATTATAGTCATTGTGTGTACTAATTGAAACAGGATGCCATTCACATTGAGATCACTGCCGCATTCTTTGTTAATATGCTAAAACTTTATGGAACAACAATATATTTTATTAACAGAACATGTCACGTATTAACATGTTTTCCAAAACTCAGCTAACTTTTATAAAGTATCACACAATGCCATGATTAATCTGTTTTATTAAGAAATAGTAGCATTGTAAATTTACCATTACTTCTGTTACATAGCAAAACTTTTGATGTATTTCAGTCTGAGTAAACCTACTTGAACAGTTGTAAAGTTAAAAGTTTAAAAAAGTTTCTTTTTCTTTCTAATACATGCCCTTAAGATTTGTACAGTGCAATACTTTCACGAGAGGAAATCCTTTTTTAAAGAAAGATTTCTTGTGTAGGGTGGTCATTTGGTACTTATTAAGGTGCTTATTATGTACATGTCATGTCAAACTTAACCAGAGTTTAATAGCTAAAACTTTTGATTTTGTAACAGTACTCTAGAGTTGTACTGTGCCTGTTAGTGAGAGGTGATATCTCAGTAGAACACTAGAAAACATATCCCCCTGACGTCTAAGATGAACATATAGCTGGATCTATCACATCTGTTTCGTCAGAATCTACTATATTATCTTTGAAAGAGGAACAGCAAGAGTGTAAAAGCAGAAATTTTGGTTTCTCATTGCCTCTGCTTCTATTTCATTTGTTTCTATCATTGGCTAAACCAAACTTTGGCAGGCACTTGGTGTTCCTTCGCCCAATAGGCTTGTGAGTTTCTACGTAATGACCCTCCTTTCCCTAAACAGATTTGATGTGAGCTTACCAGACTAATAATGTATAGAACTAGTGTGGCCAGCCAGACTGTCTTACCCCGGGCATAAGGCTGTCTGGTGCAAGACTCTCCATGATAGTCCTGCTGCCTCCCTCTGGCCCATTACGGAGCAGAATAATATGTTTTTTTTCATCACATCTGTATAAATCTGATTGGTTCTTAGTAGCTTCCACTGACTCCTGGGTCCCGCCTTTGAAAGATGTATCTACTATCCTTCCCAGGATGACTGGCCTGGTTAAAATCAGAGTGCTACACATTATCAGTCCAGCTTCTCACATTATGTCAACCAGACATTAGATTGATACTTTCATATTTTCCATATAAGATCATTTCATTGACTACTTCTATTTCCTAAACCAGGGGTCTTCAACATTTTCCAGGCCAAGGACCCCCAAACTAATGGCGAGATGGAGCAGGGACCACCTAATTATAAATATTGTATGAAATTGTGTTATATCAAACTGATCCTATAGTCACTCTATTACAGATGGAGTCATGTAATGAAAGTAATCTCTCCCTGGGATTAATAAAGTATTCCTGGTTGATGGGACAGGTGTTGTGAATGAAATGTTGCCCATCTTGAAAGAGCTCCTGTGTGTCGCTGAATAATCTTCTGCCCCCATTTATCTGTTTACTACAGAAAGTTGAATTCATGTTAATGTGTATTTAAAGACATTTCAATTAGTGGAAAAAATTGCAGGGGGGAATATAAATAAAAAGAATCAACCAAAACTTTTGTGACCCTCATGCAGTACCTCGGACCCCATGTTGAAGACCTCCGTCATAAAACATACCTAAATTGCTTGCTTACCATTTGTTACTGTCGTTGGTGGAAAAGAATGCAGAGTGAAAATAGAAATAAATGTATTTTTTAATGTGGAAAAAATGAAAAAAAAAAAATTCTGACTGCAGATTTATTTCTTTAAACCTGTTCAATAAAGCCAAGTTCCACATAATGAGAATAATTTTTTTTTTGGTGTGATGTGGAGGAAACGACGAGACATAATCGATTTAATATAGTCTTACTAACATATTACACTTTTTTGCACGGTCACGTTAAAATCTCCATGTATTTTAAAATTTCCATTTAAATTTCGTCAGCAGCAGGCCCGATGCTGCAGTGTAAATCCTTGCATGTGTGCATATGGCTGCCTGCGTGAGGCAAATTTAAGTGTGGGTGTTTGTGTTTATGTTAACTGCTGCCCATCCGAAAGCCAAGTGCTGGTCTTTCTTCCTAATTGGCAATTAACAAGGGCCCATTTAATTGCAGTGGTTTGGGAGGGAGGGCATACAATTAGCACTGGAGCTGAACCAAGCCCCCCCATATGCTCTGCCTTAACGAGCTGCTCTCTGTCCTTCCATTCGCTTGGCTAATTCTCTCCTCCTGCCCTGAACTCAACCACCCCTCAACCAAGGAAAAACCTTCATTAAGCAGAACCTATGGATATTTTTCAGAGCATAGAAAGCCTTTGTCCTTTTCATTCCTTTTTTTAAGATCTCTGCAATCTTCTCTAGCTTTATTCTCTTCTTTAAAAAAATGCCTTTCTCCATGACAGAAAATTAGTGAACAATATGTTGATCAGTCACACATATACACTCACTAAATGTCTTACATATTTTCTGATTTTCTGATTTTTAAAAAAACCTTTTAAGATGTTTAATGCACTGTCTATTTCTAACTTTTTTTTATTCTCCCTTTTTCTACATGCAGGTTCTTTTAAGGGCATGTGTAAACAGATAGACCACTTCCCTGAGGACGCTGACTATGAGGCAGATGCTTCAGAATACTTTCTTCGTGAGTTCTCTCTTTTCTTTATATTAGTGTTTTGTTGGTATTTTTATTCTTTAGACATTGTCACTACCCACATGTTTCTTGGTCTAAGATGATTAAGGTTTGTTTTTTTCCTATAGTTTCTCAAAAAGTCTTGTTTTATTTTATGCAGCATATTAACATATTTCTTCAGGCAAATAAAATGCTGAAAGGGACACACAATTATTTTTTTGCCCTTTTTTCAGATATGCATAAATAAATCAGCTGTAAATTATCTCAGAGAAAGTGCAAATGTTCTGTCAAGTAGGGAGAGGTTCATTAGAGAGTATTAGTCAACAAATATCATAAACACAAAGGAACAGGTTAGGTGGGACTACTACTGTATGTCACAAGGTCTGACCATCTCACAGAGCTCTTTTCAACTCATAATCTTGATGGAGAGCATCTGTTATGATTCAATTTAAAATCTTGCCATAAATTCGCAATTAGATAAAGATCTTAACATTTACTAGATTGCTCATATAAACATGATTTAATGCAAAACGATTTAATTGCATAAGGGTCAGAGTCTGAATGCTCAAGGCAGACCTTATTCTCATATTTAATCAGAATATAGTTAGACTATATTTAACTTTCCTTTTCCATCAATCTTGACAATCACCCTTGACCCTGAGGAATAAAAAAATCCCCACAGCATAATGCTGCCATCACTATGACTAACAGTGAGGATGATTAGCTTAGGGCAGTGATATGATTGTTCTACACCCATCGTTCTGTATGATTAATAAAAAAAAGTGAAGTTTGAGGCCAGATTTGCTTCTCAGATTAACTCTGTGGGTCTCTGTAAGTTTAGGTGAACTGCCACATTTTAATTGCTTTGCAGTGGTATGATGTGTTTTTTTCTATTTTTAATCTGATTAACCTATTTTGTAATGAATGCAACTTTCAGTTTCTAGATGTGAAAATTTTTTACTGATACCACAAAAGAACTTGCACCGACAATTTTAGCACAAGTTAACTTCAAGGCGGTGCTAGATGTGGCACACTTTGCATTTAAAAAACATTTTCAAAACACTGCATATCTATTCCTTTCCACTGTCCAACTTATTAATCAATTTATCAATTTGTATGATGTGTTGTTTTTTTTTAACACATTTTACATCTAAATACATAGCTGTTTGAGACTCTAACGTGACAAAGTGGTGAGAGACTTCCTTTCTTACAATAACTGATGAAGAGGTAAAACTAGAGAGAGGGCGAGGTAAAATGAGGGCAAGGAAGGAGGAGGGTTGAATGGAAGAGGAAAGATGAAGGTCACTGATCAGTGAAGTGTAGGAGGCGGAAATGGCACGACAAAGAGTGATGAGGTTTTCAGATCGAATACAGGAGGAAGGGGGTAATGGAAGAAAGCAAAGAACGCTAAAATAAAAAGGTTGCAGAGGTGAAGGACAAGGAGTAGGGCACCAGTCCAGTGCTGTTGCTCTCCCAGTGGCTCACCAATTAGGACACTTACTTCTAAAAATACTCTAGGCTCTGCAAAGTGGGTCATATGTATCCCTCTCCTCCTTCCTTCCTTATGTCTCTCTCAACCTCCTCTCTCTTTTCCACCCATCTGTCTGTCCATCTCTAGTGAGGCCTTCAAGTCAGTCTGAAAGCTGGAGGGTGGAGACTGTGAGGTTGGACTGGATGAGATGGTGGAGCAGGGCATAAATTTAGTTGGAGTCCTTGTCGTCATAAACAGTTTTCTAAGAAAGTTTATCAAACTTTTTAAGACTCCTTTTTCATTAGACAGAGATCAGGTCAACATGACTAACTTAGAATAATAATCTACATTTATTTTTTCATAAGTTGATTATTCCTTCCTTATGGTGTTTCTGGATGGTGGTGGTGGGGTGGGGTTTACTTTAGGCAAAATACTTAATAAGGTTAAAATGTTTATCTAGTTGGTTGTAAATTCTAACTGTTTTTCATTCCGAGCAACTATAGAAATGCTGAGTCAGTTAAAAAAGAATGTTTTCAGGAGGCTAAAATGTTCTGCTAGTAAACATAAGAGTTACTAAGAGGTTATAGATTCTCAGCAAGTATTTTAATCAGCTAAAAAGTTTGTTAAAATGTTAGCGGAGAGTTGTATATGGTGCTCTTTTTGCAATCTGTTTTTTCCCCAAATGTTTTAATCCAGTTGTTTATTTTTTTTTTATTAGCTGTAGGTTTTAGCACTCTATCACCAAAATAAAACTGAAGCATTTTCTGATTCTGATTTGAGTCATGCGTCTTGTAAACAATGGAGGAACAACTGCTTTCACTTTATCATTTTTATAATTTCATTACCAATTATTCTCAAACTATGAGTCTTGAAATGATACATCTGTGTCAAAGTAAAGAGACTACAGTAGATATGGGTAATGTGAACTAAACAGACTTTAAAACCGTAAAAGACTGGCAGGGTCTTTTATTTTTATTTCTTTTGTTAATTACCGCTGTGAGACCTCTTTGATCAGATTCAGTAATAAACAGAATAGAATGCCTTTATTGTCCCACAATAGGGAAATTCTGGTGTTTACAGCAGGAAAAAGAATTTAGAAAAAATGGTCACACAAATGTGGACCTTAGAAAAGTGTATATGAATAACATAATAGGGAAGAATTAAAAATAAACACATGAAATACTGTACTGAAAAGTGTTTTAACAATATAAATACTTTGCATCAAGAGAATAAATAACCAATATACAGCTATGGACATTTTTACAGAAATGGATATTTGAAAATAGCATCAACATCAGAGATGTGCAAAATGAAAGCAGCATGTTATTTAACTGACTAAGATAGAAACTGTGCAAAATCAGCATGAATGTAACAACTTATTGAGGTTGTTGGGAACAGTGATGGTTATAAAGTCTTGCAGCTGCTGGGGGGAAGAATCTGTTATAATGCTTCCTGGTGCATTTAGGGTGCAGCAGTGTCCTACTGAAATCCTATCATGTCTACAACATTAGTAATTATCTTAAAAAAATGCTTTTTCTCCTGATGATTTAATCAAATCGGAAGTAATCATATAACTATAAAACTGAACCATCTTTCCGATTTAGTAAAAACCATATTGCTCTAAAACGTTGCATATACCCTTAACAATGGGGGCTATGATTTGGGGCTTGCTGCCGATTGTCAAATAGCTTTCAAACAAGGCATAGGTATCCTTATTCAAGCACATAAAAAATAAATAAAGAGGAAAAACTATATGTTTTCCTTTAAAATCAAAAGCCATGATTATTATTCATTTTGTTGGTGAAGATTCTCAGTCATCCAGGTCGTAGTCATTCCAGAAAAAAAGGTTAAAAAACAATTCACTGGACTTTGTTTCCAAGTGTGATGATGTTTCGCTTCCCATACAGGAAGCTTTTTCAATTCAAAATGTCAGGAATATCATTAAGTTCGAGGTTTTATACATTAAACCATCAAAACCTTGCTTTCTTTTTAAAAACATGCTAATTGAATCGGACGACCGGGTCCACCCCTTTGGAATGGGGGTCATTTGGCCTCTTTTGTTAGCCTGTAATTTTTTTAGACGGGTATGGGGCATTGGGAAGTGAAATGTCTTCAAACTTGGAAACAAAGTCCAGTGGATTGTTTTTTTAACCTTTTTTTTAATTATTAATTTTCTAACAACCTTATTAAATTATGCAAAAGTCTTTAGCATGTCTCTTTAGACCAATGAGACAAAGATAAGCGTTATTCTCACATGATTATAAAACAATGTAAAAGGTGTATCACTTCACAAAACATTGACCTGTATTTATTTGGCATTGAAATTTTCTTTAAATATCTGGTCAGAAAGTATTCATACTTTCTCAATAACTAGTGAAAACATATGTTTTGCCATTGCAGCAATCAAACCTGTCTTATAATTGCTGACTAGATTTTTGTGTTTCTACTGTTGTCTCAAGGGTTAATTTTTGGTGATGAACACACATTTTTGAGGATAGATGGCCTCCCTGACAATCCATCAAATCTTCTTGCCTGCTGCACATTATCTAATAGATTTAAGCATTGTTTTGTGTGCGGTCCACTCTAAAGCATCAAAATCAATTCCAGTCATTCAACATATTGCAAAAACGAAAGAATACTTGTTCCTTCATTCTCTTTACTTTCTGTATTAGTTGCTCAAAGCTCAGTTCAAGTTTAAAATTCAGCTATATACAGCCACTCTGTTAATGCTGATTGTACATAATATCTTTTTGATCTCTATATGTCATAGATTTTATAATGCTAACACACAGATAAAATGACTTCAGCTATTTCTGTCATAATAAAAGACAGAATGAATGCAGCAGCCACTGCCTCTGTTTATGTCTCATCAACATGTTTTTTTTTTTTCTTTCCATGTTGTGCCTGGGCTGTTTTGGTAGATGGTAGTTCGACTACTGGCTGGTTTTTACAGATAATGAGACAATTCATAACCACCAGTGTAATGGTTTTACCACTGTCCTCTCCCTGTCCACCACTTTGCATCAGTTTTGGAGGCACAGCTGCAAAATTATGTGCAAGCCCCTGAAAGGGAAAGAGCATGCAGGGGTAAGGGGGAAAATAATAGCATACTTGCAAAACAGCACATGCCAAAACAAAACAATTAATGTTATTTTCTAGGTGTGATCATTTGGAGCAAAACTGAAAATCAAATGATGCATTGAATACATTGTGTGGCCCTTATGAATCGTACAACAATTTTAAGAAAAGTAAACATTATCATTATCTATCATTGTCATTATCTAATAAATTTCCTTCTTGCAATTATCCTGGACCAATTATCCTGGTTAAGAATCCCCATCATGCACCGTCATGACAATAACTAGATATAAATACCTATTTATATAAATACCTATTTAATACCCCTATGCAATAACCTGTTAAATAAGAGACTTCAGCTGTTTTATATGTCTTGGAGGACATCATTCTGATTAACACCTCACAGCCTGAGGAGACGGCTTAACGTCTTAATGTTTGTTGTTTTACTTTATATAAAAAGTGG